TTAATATTGTTTATGTTCGTACACGCATCGTAGTATGACGAATATAATCTTGTTGCAGGATAAAAAAAAAAACAACAACACAGCTTGCTGCTTCAGGGATCGCCAACTACATAGTCTAACATGGGCCAATGGAGAAAGCTAATTTGTTTTGCTTTTGATATTTCGACTGTCGATGCTAGTGGTCGTAACAACGACAGTTGCTCTATATGCGATTATTAGCGTTGATCCGAATGGAGACGCCTCGCTACTGCGGCTGCCGGCCCGTTCCGTTTGAAACTGCCGTTGTATTTCCTGTTTGTACGTATATATTGAAGATGTAGCGCCGATGGTCGCTCGCGTTTAGTTTCGCTACCGGTCGACCCAATCAGGAGTCAAGTCAGACGGTCGTCGATGGGGTCGTTACGGCAATGGAAGTCGAAATAAAAATAGGGCAGTAGAAGCATCTGCAGCTCCGCGTCCATTAGATTGAGCTGCCATCTGGCCGAGAAAATCCACGAAGAGAAACGAAAGATCTGACACAAAGAATAACGCATACGACGCATGTGGCATTTCGTACATTATACTATATAAATAATACAACGACGCGGTACTGCGTCACGATAAATAAGCTGCTCATCATCTGCCGTGATTACTGGTATCAGTTTTAACCTGATTGTTGTCTACTTGGCCTGCCCTTCCTTCGAGTATATTACCTTTCTTACCCATACAATAACAGAAACTTCAGTTTTCGCAAACGTCGTGGAAAGCGCGTAATTAATGCGCGTATCTTTTTTTTTACTCTACCGAGTATTAGGATACCATACTCGCGTGGATAGAATAACAAAAAATGAGAATAGAATGTAAATCACCTATTTATATTATGAATCTGCCACGTTTCTAGCAAGTATGAATGCTGGCCTTTGTGATTTTTTTTATGTTGTTGTATGTTGCCGCTCTGATGACCCTCACATCGACGCTGTACGCTACCAAAAACGACGTCCGCCGCTTCGATATGACTTAGCTTCCACCGCTGATCAAAACGCGCGTCCGAAATGAACACGATACTGTACCTCGTATCCAGAGCAACGACGACCCTTATCCAAAGGCAGGACAATGTCCCAAGGATCCAAATAGTGTCGCTATAATATACGTATGTTAATAAATATAAAATGGTAATGAAGAAACCCACCGTGCGAGAAGAACTTGAAAGGGAACAAACTTGAAAGAAAGAAAGATTGAATAATTTTGACCTTCGGTGCACAGCGCTTGAACTTTATGGTGTAACAGATAAGCTGTGTCGTGCGGCATCTTTGATTAGACTACGCATCAGATATAGATTTATTAGTAATACAACTGAGTTGCACGTAAAACGGTAGACAATGCCCAAATTACATAATTATAAAGCATATTCGCGATGGCAGTAAGTGAAGAAACTCTAATCGGAATCTCTTTGGGGGGTTTAATCTAAGGTCGGCGCCGGACATTTCGTAGGTTTTTCCATCAGCTGTTTTAGAATGTAGGCATACTGATCTACTGAAGGCTTTTGTTTAAAAAAAAAAAAGAGCTTACACATGTAGCATGCTAAACAGGGTTAAATGAGAAGATGTTGTAAATGGTATGGGTTACAGTCTGTTATCTACGACGGTTTCAACAAATTATCGTTTCACCTGTTTATGATCGACTGGCTTGTTATTTGAAGTTGGACAGCTCCAAGATAATTTCATTACTCAACGCAAAGACATATA